CTAGAACATAAGCAACTGAACTCAAACCAACCTGAGTTTAGAATGCAGACTTTCTCTATGTGAATGTACCCTTAGAAGCCGGGGTTCTAAATCAACTTTCTTTTTTTTAAAACTGTTTTTTTTAAAAATATATTTTTATTGATCTCAGACAGGAAAGGCAGGGAGAGGGAGACAGAACCATCAATGACGAGAAGCATTGATTGGCTGCCTCCTGCACGACTGGGGATTGAGTCCACAGCCCGCGCATATGCTCTGACCAGGAATCGAACCGTGACCTCCTGGTTCACAGGTCAATGCTCAACCACTGAGCCACCACAGCCGGCTTAACACAACTTTCTTGACCACATTCTTGGTCCTCCTCCTTCTCTGGCCACGTCACTGCTTAGATCACTGCCTGTGACCCAGGACTGAGGTGCAGACGGGAGAGAGTCTGTGGATTCCGTGGGTCTGGGAGACGTCACAGAAAGAGACAGGCTGGTGTCTCAGGTGCAGGCCAAGGCACGGAGGAATCCCAGTGTCCAGCGTCTACTGGAGAGTGACGAGTGGGAGTGGGGCAGGCTGAGCCGGGGAGCAGAAGCACCAATTCCACAGCCTGAATCGGGCTATCGTTTCCCCCTTCACAGGTTAAAGGAAGGGACTGGCTTTCTGAGCATCACTGTGAGTCGGCCATCACACCAGGTGTTCTCTGTTCAGCCTCACCTAATGCTCACAACTCCCCCCATGGAGCACTGCCCCCTTGTTTCTATCGATGCTGGGGCTGCAGCCCATAGCGGGCAGGTCTCTCTGCCCAGGGCCATGCGGCCAGGGCAGAGCAAGCCCGGGTTCCAGCAGGCTCGAGGTCCTTCCCACCCCATCCACGCCATGTGCGCTCCCCCAGAAAGACGAGGAGCTCCAGGCTTCTGGATTCCCGGAAACAGGCACCAAAAGGTGGGAGGGAGCACAGGACAGGAAGCCCAAGTCCCCCATAAACAAGCTGTGACGGGTGGAGAACAGCTTTCTGTCCCTCGCGTGAGCTTGGAGCCAGAAACCTGGGCCAACGCCTTCCAGCTCCGGCTCTCCTCCCTGCCACCACAGCCCCATTTCCAAAGACAAATATCAGTGGCAATCTGAAGCCCTACCAGTAAACGTGCCTCGGGCCAGGGCATGCCAGGCTGGGAGTGACCAGAAGGCCGGACTTTGTTTCAGCAAGTCCTACCTCAAACTGCAATCCGCATCTAAGAATGCCTCAAGGATAACCTGTTAACCTCCCCACATCTGCGTGAGCTCATTGCTTGAAAAATCATCTCCAGTGAAGCCACAGCTGTGGGAGCAAGAAGGTGGGACTGGCAGGGTGTTTTCCTTCTTTAATTGCAAACGATGGATGTGCCAATGAGCAGCCTTTAGCCAGAGGCAGAGCCCGTCCCTGCGAAGGGAGAAGGCAGAGGCTGGGGGTGAAGTCCAGCCCCGCAGGCTGTGGGAACTGAGCTCACACACTCGAGGCGGCAGCATGGGCCCACCCCACCCTGCTCCCTCCAACACCCTCAGGGTGAGGCACCAGGTGATGGAGGGGTAGGACTCGCCTCCATAGGATGGAGCCAGAAAGAAGAACGCTCTCGATGCCCGTTGCTCCAAAGCGGACATTTGTATATGATGTGGTGGGAGCCAGTGGTGATGTGCCCCCGACAAGAGGCCAGCAGACCTCCATGTGCCACACATTTGACGTCAGGATAAGGCAGTGGAAAGAGGGGCAAACAGAAAAGTTGCTACGTCATCAAAATCCCCATGGAATTGTGCTGAACGATAAATCTACGGAGCATGTGCTACGTACAAAGCCCCGTGCAAATCATTAGGAGGAGCCGGGTTCCCACGTGAGGAGCATTTCACAACAGGTGGGGGGGAGGGGGGACCCCCATCCAATGTCCTGAGGTGTCCCTGCGGCAGGGAGGAGAGTGTCTGAGAAGCCTTGGGTCACCTGA